GTTAGCGGGTATACCCTTTTGTTAGCCCATGTCCTATGCTCACAAAAGCGTATACCCGCTAAACATAAATATATTTCCTGAATTAATGCGAACATGTTAAAGACTCTATTAAAAAACTGCTTTTTTTGACTTATCCTCTTATGCCTTTTACCCACAGAATTGCCATAGTAAAAAATATCCACTTATAACTCTAGCCTACAGCAATTTAGGAAATTTGAATGAATCAATTATCTTATGCCAATAATACACAAAAGGCCATATGGAATGTAATTAATAAAGAAATAAAATCAAACACAAATAAAAATCAAGACTGTCAGTTAACAGCTGAACAATTTAATATATTTTTTAAAAAAATAGGAGAAAACACTCAAAAAGAAATAGAAAAAGAATACTTTTTAAAGAAGATAAAAATTGAAAACACAAAAAGTTGCTATTTTAATCCTGTAACTACAGATGAAATTTTAAAAATGTCTAGTCAGTTTAAAAACAATAATACCAAAGATGTAGATGGCTTATCCACAATTTTTTTAAATAAAATGTATTCAGTGTGTGTCCCACTAGAAATTATTTTTAATAGATGTCTATCAGAGGGGGTCTTTCCAAAAAGACTAAAAAATGACAAAATAATACCTATTCTTAAAAAAGGAAATTCAAAAATCTGTGATAATTATCGTTCAATCTCCATTTTACCTGTATTATCAAAGCTTTTAGAAACTGTGATAAAAAATAGATTAGTTGAATACTTAATTTTTAATTCTAACCAACATGGTTACAGGAAAAACAAATCAACCATTACTGCATTGCTGGATATGTTGGAGACCGTTGTTCAGAGTCAAGACAATTCACTGCAGACTCAACTAGTCTGCTGTATCTGCTACTATCGTACCTGCAAGATAGGGAACAAAAATGGAAAGACTCAGTTTCACCCAAACTGACAGTTGGAGTACCACAGGGCTCTGTCTTAGCACCAATACTTTTTATAATTTACACCAATGATATTATTTGCAGTAGACATTCCTCGAATATCTGTTTATATGCTGATGATACATCTCTGGTTATCACAGGTCACAGTGACATGAAAATTAAACAACAGACTGAAGAGGCATTAAATAATTTTCAAGATTGGTTCAATACAAATAGACTTAAATTGAACAAGGACAAGACACAGCATCTGGATTTTAAACAAAGAACAATAGCTCCACAAATCCAAATAAAATATCTAGTAGTATGGGTCGACAGTAAATTAAACTGGAATAGTCACATAAATGACCCTGGGAAAAGGTTAAATTCATCAATCTATGCAATAAGAAGAATAAAAACGAGTGCAACTCATCAATGTGCAAAAATGACTTCCTTCGCTAATTTTCACAGCCTTATGTCCTATGGAATTATAGTATGGGGTGAAGCAAATGAGTCACAAAGGGTGTTTCTTCTTCAGAAAAGAGCAGTGCGCGCTTTGTGTTCACTAAAAAAGACTGATAGTTGTAAGGAATATTTTAAGAAAGAAAGAATACTTATATTTTATAGTGTGTATGTCTTGAATCTTTTGAAGTATGTACATTTTAATAAAAATAAATTTTTAAAAAATTGCATAACTCACAGTTATAACACAAGAAACAGGGAACAATTTTTAATACCTTTTCATAATATAAATGCAACCCAAAGATATGTGGATTACTGGGGTCCTAAACTGTACAATCATTTACCTGATAGTCTTAAGCAACTTAACCGTGAAATGTTTGCTAATGCTTTAAAAGAAATTTTTATAACTCAATGTTTGTATAGTGTACACGAATTATTTAATATTAATTTTAACATGTAATTATTGTGCTACATATTTTCTTTATATATATATATATATATATATATATATATATATATATATATATATATATTTGTTTTATTATTTAATAATAACATCTAATTTAGATGTTACCTATTTTAAGAGTATTTTTGACATGTCATGTATTTTTTGATGATAATTCTTATTCTTATTCTTGGATGAATAATATCATTGTTTTTAGAGGTAAAAACAATGATGATATTATATAGGATAGGTCAGTGGCTCCCTGGTTTTGTCAAAAAAAAAATCATAATTTTTTTATTAAAAAAACAGAAGCTCTAATCCATAATTGATAGAGAAAAAACTTTCTTGTTTTGGCGTGTACTATCATCCCCCCAATGGATGACACGTTAATAGGTGACACCCTGTATAATATACAGTGTATAATATACACTGTATATATTAAAAAGTAAGTGATAAAATTTTGTTGCCTAAACCGCGCAGTATAGTTAAACTGGATTATTTTACATAAGAATAAGTACCGCACGTACTACCTAATACTTATTTAAAATAATCTTCTTTTTTTCTTTTAAATTTGTTTTGTATTATATTTAATTTCAATAAATTTTCACTACTTAAAAAATGGCGAATGCGCCGGGATAATTTGTCTTGAAAATATAAAATAATAAAAAAACTTATGGTAGTGAAGTATCCATCATGTCTAAAATGTTGAATGATATGAACATATAGCTCCAAGTCAATGGCTCATAAATGCTATTTTGTATGTTAAGAAATAATTTTTCAATTTATTACTAAATTAAAAAATAAAAATACCTTCCTTATGTTAATATATTTTGATAAAAATATGTGTTATTTATTAAGGGACAAAAACATCTTAAAAAATGCTTAAGCTTAAAGGTAAAATATCGTTTGAAATCCATGCAATATTGATGTTGTTAAAAGGGGGAAATATGAAAAAGCTCTAAATGTCTAAAATGTTGAATGATGTGTAAAACATATAGCTCCAAGTCAATGGCTCATTAATGCTATTTTGTTTGTTAAGAAATAATTTTTCAATTTATTACTAAATTAAAAAATAAAAATACCTTCCTTATGTTAATATATTTTAATAAAAATATGTGTTATTTATTAAGGGACAAAAACATCATAAAAAATGCTTAAGCTTAAAGGTAAAATATCGTTTGAAATCCATGCAATATTGATGTTGTTAAAAGGGAGAAAATATAAAAAAGCTCCTGAAACGGACCATATAATGGACCTACCTAAAATGAGTAGGGAAGCTTGTAATAAAATATACATGTCCAATGGACATTGTCCATGTTTAACTTTAATAGTATTAATATTATATTTTAATAAATATTTTATACAACTTTTATTTTAGGAATGTATTTAATTATTTAATATTTATTAATTAATATTTATTGATAAATAAAATCAAAAATTATTTATTATTAAATTTATTTGTACCTACTAAATAAAATACTAGTAAATTATATTGTCTTGGTTTTGATATTTTAATAAAATGTGTTCTTAAATAATTTCTTAACGTAGTGTTTTAAAATATTATATTATATAAAAATATTTTTTTTTATATTAAATAAACCGTAAAAATGTATGAAATATATATGCAAATTTTTAACCGTATCGTCTGCTGTCAGAAAAAGTTACATGTGTTTTGGTACGAATAGCGATTTTTAATTTAAAGAAAAAACGGATTGCATTAAATTTCTATTCCATTCTTATAGTCCTTATGTTAAAAAGAACGTCTTAACACGTGAACAACCGATAAAAATATCTGTATAAAATTGAAGTTTTGAGCATGTGTCTTTTTAAACATAAATATTTCATAAACAGTTTGTCGAAACTTTACATGCGATATGTCAAAATTTGTATAAATTAACGATTAGGTATCAAATTAATATAAATAAAATACATTTATTAGAAAAAATTGTGCCAACAAGAGCATTATTTTTTTTCCATTTAAATTTTTTTTAAGCGAAACATGCTTCTAGAATATAAGCTTGACAAGGCAAATTGTGGATTTATAGGTATAGTTTATATTAAAATTTAAAAAAATAAAACAAAGAAAGCGATAGCCTTATGTCGTATTACCACATCATTTAGAAATATAATTGTTTTTATTAAATTATTTAATTTAAAAATAAATTAATTTAGTCTACAAAAAAAATAATTAAACACAAACAAAAATCAAGTTATTTAAAAAACGCTGTTATAATAATTTTAATAATTATTATACCCAATATAAATTTGTAAATGACCTGCATGCAATAAAATTATTTTGTTTTATTTGCATTTTAAGGTTAGTGTTTAATTAAGGATTTATAAAATTAAATTTTAACAAATAAAACGATAATTAATTTAACTGTTTTTCAATTATAAATCATCCATTAAATTTAAATGAATATTTATCATAAATTATGTTCAGGATGTCCCGCTTAAGGTTTTTTTTAAATGTGATTTGAACTATATATTACAAAAATATATAGGACATTCCTATATATTTTTTACATTTCAATAGATTGTCTTAAGGTGAATTAAACAATATACTTATAAAATAACTCTAAAAATAATAATTATATGATACTGTAAAAAAATAAGCTCCCTAGTAAAGAAGGATTAAACAATCAAACAAGCAAGGCGTAATTTTTATGCTACTACCATGGCAACACAAGTTTATTTGGATGCTGACAAATTTGTGATTTCACAAATTTAAAAAATGCGTTATTCTTTGAAAGAATGTTCTATTTTTCAATCAATTAATCCAATAAAAATGCGTATGCCGTGGCGGCAAATCATGGCTTGCTTATTGTTTAATTCTTCTCCAGATCTACTAGAAAGCGTTTAATTTTGCGCTTATTACATCTCATATAATTTTTATTTGTAGGGTAAATATATATTATATATTTTTAAATTAAAACATTCGATTAAACTGTAAAAATATATACCTATATGACATTCAATTAATTTTTTTTTTAACATCGATGTGTTGTAGAGATAAAGAAGATCTGAAAAAAAAAAATTATGAAAAATTATTCAAAACAAGTTTTTGACAGACAAAAATATTTTGATAATAAGGAAATTAATTAGGGGATCAACTTTAAGCGGGACAACCTGTACGTAAAGAAAAATTAAAAAAAAAATAATTAAAAAACATGCATTGTACAAAAATATTTACCATATGTTAAACAAATCACCACACGAGTAAAACACACAAAAAACTACATAAACACGATCACGAAAGTCACTTGCACGATTTAACCTCTAAAACATCGTCCTGCGGACATGTCATAAAAACCTGAAAAATATTCCTCCGACCACGAGACTAATGCGAATCACGATCGTGTCAGAGCACGCGACAGCAGCACGGCGGAGCAGAAAAGTACGGCAGGATCTCGCAGCATCCGACGCGAGGATACTGACATCGGAGGGTTGCAGGAGAAAAGCTCCTGCTGCTCGGGGTGAAGCGCGCAAGCGTCTTTGACACCTCGGCTACACAGAATTGTCTATAACCCGCTCGGCCCTAAATATTTTTCTGTCACTATTGTCCTTGACAATCAAATACTAGTTCCTGCATAATTAACTTTTCTACATTATGTTTAAATAAAATACTTCAATTTTAGATATTTTGACCTACTTGTTTTGGGGAAAGTAAAGTATAAAGAAGTAATAAATAAAAGTTTAAAATCTATCTAAAAAAGCAAGATTCATTTATATAATTAAATATTTTATTTATTAAAATATGGCTAAAATTGTTTGCGGACTGGCTGAATATTTAAAATTTACATTTTAATTTTATTATTTTTAAAGCTATGTAAAAATTTCGTTGATATATTTATAACAACCTTAACCATGGTTAACATTAACATTGTAATTTAACAACGAAACATATTTGTTAGTGATGTTGTTTAGTATTACAAAATCATACATACGTAGAGACCTGACTTTTAGGCACTTAAAATTTGAAAAAGAGCTCCCAAAAAGAAAAACAAAAACACAGATACAAAGCCTGGGCGCCGGAAGGAATTCGTCTAGGGGGGGGGGGCCTTAAAGTTTTTTACAATTTTGATAGTTGCTATTTATAATCAAGTTGTACTGTAGAAGTTCACATTAAACTTAAGTCAAATAAAATATCATCTTTATATGTATATTTACCTATTTATTTATATTGGTACATATTGCAAAAAATACATCATAGTTTTTTGGTAAATATATAAATATAAAAAAATTGTATCGCCGAGGAATCTCCTCTAGTAGTACAGCCGTCTTTTGTATAAGCTATACAAATTATGATATTTATTATTTAAGCTAAAATCCCTTGGATTACAAATCAAAATTGATATGAACCTTATTGCACGTATGTAAGATTCCATCGAAGATATTTGGAATATGAACATAATGATCTGTGGCTTCTGGTTTCTTCGCCATATGATTATGAACGGAATCAGTAAACTGTGCTTCTATTTTCTTTAAACAGCCAGCCATTTCATTCATTTTACAACTGTAACAACACTAGTGTACATTAAGACGGCACAAATCTAAGTTAAATTATCTAAGATAACAAATCTAATTTATCTAAAAAATAATGAACAAATGATAACGATCAGCACTTACCGTCAAATTATGGAGTACCGGAATTTCTGGGTATGAATTTCCAGGGGGGGGCCGGCTCCCCCCTGCTTATATGTAGCGGCGCCCATGGTACAAAGGCAAAAGTGTTTATTCTTATTTACATAAACAGTAAATAAATATAATGGTTTTTACACAGCATCTATTAATATACTGTAATTATATAGTTTATCCGATAAATACTTCTGGAATTACAAAAAAACAGTGTCACACCTTTTTTGGACACCCTTTATAATAGAATAATGTGAGTCGAAATGAGAATCAGAGAATCAAGGCCGAGTTCAAAGATTATATGATTTCACATGCATTCAATACGTTAGGTAGATATAATTCGAAATTATATTTAATATTATTACTATACACTGTATAATATACAGGGTGAAAACCTTAACGGAAATAAATTCTTTATTGTGAAAACATTTTTTTTTATTTAAAAAACACGTCAATGTTTTTATGGGTAAATTATGGTGATACTTTTATAATATATGAAATTACCTCTTAAGGGTCTAACCAACCCTGACTTTTGTGATACATCATTTGAAAGCTCGTTTTAATAGGTATTCATATTATTCAATTATATGTCTTTGGTGGATATAATTACAAAAAATAAAACTTCATTTTATGATAAATATAGCTTTACTTTAAAATATCTTCAAAATGAGCTTCTCTGGTTTCTTGACAAAATGCTTGATGATTATAAAAATCATTTTAACATTTCTGGTGATATTAATCGAGTTTCGTGTCGGATACTCTCCTTAAGGTCTTCAATATTATTTTGATTTGGTGACAAACTTTATTTATAAGAAAAAAAACAACGAGGTAAGGTCTGGAGATCGGGCTGGCCACTCAACTGCAATCCACCAATTAGGAAATACGCGTAGTGCGGTGGAGATCCATCTTGCTGAAACCAGAGTCTCTTATCTGGTAAGTCTAGATAATCTTGGTTTGGAAACTGAACTGCCAAATGTGGTACAAGTTCTTCTTAAAGAAAATTACCTATTGCCATTTGTAATTTCGTTTAAAAAGGCGAGACCTATTTACTTATCAGGAATTATGCCAAACTCTTTTGGATACTGGGTATGATTTTCTTTAATCCAATATGGATTAGTGTCGCTCCAATTTAGATTTAGATTAACTTCATTAATTAAAGAAAACGTACTTTTATCTGAAAATAGTAATATATCTAAGGAAATGTGGTTTTTATTTATTAGGTTCATAATTTGATCGCAAAATTCAATTAATCCATCTTAAATGTATGCATGTTTGAACCATGTAGTAACTTCATTACGGTGGTGTGACTCAAATCGTTCTCGCAAGCAATTTGTCGAGCTGAAGTAATAGGATTTTCTTGGATTGTTATTATAATAGTAAATTTAGTTTGTCGTTGCCTAGGAACATTTTTTATATGAACATTTTCGTAATATTTTGCTTCTATTTGGCAAATAATAGGCAATTCTAGATGCATTTCATAAATAATCAAGTCACTTCTATCTAATTTCGAAATTTATCACCAAATCCAATCATCATTAGAATTTCAATACGCAGGAGTTTCAGTTAAGTAAGGAGTTTTCACAGTAGATTAAGAATACGTTATTTCCAACTAATTTTGAAGAACTAAATAAATTCTGTTAAATATAAAAATCGAATAGTTTTACAAAATTTGTTGCACATTGTAAATATCAAAACAATTCAATGTAGCTAAAAATACAGCAGGAGCAGCGAATAGTTTTACAAAATCTGTTGCAGATTGTAAGTATCAAAACAATACAATGTAGCTAAAATACAGCAAAAGCAGCGCAATGGGCTTTCTTTTAAATAAAAATGATTTTTATTTCTTTAAAGTACCAAAATAAAATAATTAAAAACTGAATATTGGTATTAATGGGTATTAAAACGAGCTTTAAAATAACGTAAAAAAATATGGTTGGTTATACCCTTTAGAAGTGATTTTGTTTATAAAGTATCATAATTTAACCATACAAATAGTTGACGTATTTAATAGTTATTTAAAAATTAAGGGAAGTAAGGCATAGTTACCAGTCGAGGACGATTTTGCGCCCGAGCACTAGCGAGGTCTGGCAATAGAGTCTGAGGCTTGTCAGACTTACTTCCCGAATTGTTTATAACGTTTTTTCCACTATAAAAGTGGTTTTTAATTCATTTCAATTGCTTATGTTTAAGCAATTTTAATTGTTTACCTTTGGTTGCTAAGGATTTCATTTGACTATTTTCCAAACAAAGTGGAAAGTTGCATTCTTTATTTTGTAAGATGAATTTAAATGAAAATGGGCAAGAAATAGAAATTGAAGAAACTGCAAATGCTGCATGTGCCTTCCTCCTGCCGGAGAAGTCAAAGGGGCGTTATCAAGATGCATACAAGTGTTTCAAAAAGTGGTGACAGTGATATCGGAAACAACAATGCTGGCATATTTTATGGATAAAAGCAAGGTATTAAAGTCGCCAGCAAGTTTGTGGTGTGAGTATTCGATGTTAAAGTCAACACTGTTTATTGAAGACAACATCGATATTTCCAAATTCCCAAAACTCAAGGTTTTTTTGAAAAGAAAAAATGATGGCTATAAACCCAAAAAATTGATTGTTTTCACCCGTTAAGAAATAAATAGATTTTTGGTGGAGGCTGAAGACAGTCAATATTGTACGACAATAGTTATCATTTATCGAACATACTATCAAAATCTACCAGCAACTCAACGGAAATTTCTTATGTCAGTGAAAGTGAAGCCGTGTTATCAACAGAAACCATAATTCTAGATGAGAACGAAAATGGAAAGAAGGTTTCAGAAATCCCACCAAATTTTGTTAATTGTAATTTTGAAAATTGTACCATTAATATGAATAAAAAATAATGTTCTTGTTTAATTTGTACTTACTTCCTTAAGGAGGTAAGTTTTTACTTACTTCCCGTTGTCAAGAGCCAGAGCACACTCAGTAAGTTGTACTTATTTCTGTAAAATCAATGTCACAACATACTTTGTCAGGAGTGGAAAAAATTATTAAGTTATTTTTAAAATACAGAATTTTTTCAAGTTAGGGTTTTTACCCTGTATATTATAATATTAAAAATAATAATTATTATAATAAAAAATATTTAGCAACTACTATTAAATAACAATGTTGGGGCATAAAAAATAACATACATTTTACATACTTTTAAAACTTATGTTAATTTTAAATTTAATATAATAATCGTAATTATTATCATAGCAAGGCAATACAGGCTGAGAAAAAACTTTTTAACAAAATCCAAAAACACGTCAAGTTTGTTTCTCAGGGGGACAACTTTTAACGCAAAATGTATAGCAAAACCTTCAACTAAGTGGGGGTGTCATTTCCCAATTTTTTGCAAATGGGAATGGGGGCAAATGATACCTCATTAATTCCCTATATATTACTAGTTTTTGAAAATCCATCCACACGTTTAGAAAATTATGGAGCTTTGAAATACCAATATGCTTAAACTGTTGTTCGCCAAAGTGCATACAGTTATACAGGTTATCTTCAAACCGTTTCCGTACATTCTGGAGCCCTTGCGGTTTCACTTTGCGACATACGTCAATGATTCGTCCTCGCAGATATTCCAATGTGTCAGGTGCTGTAAACTTTGTTTTTTATGTGCTATCACAAAAAAATCTCTTTATTCTATTCATCGTCCTGGAAGCGTGTAATTTAAATAATTTAGTGAGTAATGCGGAGGATCTCGGTCTTGTTAGAAAATTAGTTCATGTTTATTGTATGCAGGGTCATTATTTATGATATTTGTTAGAGCTGGG